CTCTGTAACCAAGAGCAAGGTAAACCTAACCCTAATTTTGTTCATTACGTATATATATGCTCTAGATCTGACAAATTTTATGTTTTTTTCTATCAATATTTGCTTGTTTATGCTTCGATTTCGATTGATTTTAGTTGAAATGTGTTATAAAACGTAGATCTAATACAAATTTGTAAGCTGTCTTGATTACTTTGATTTTTCTAATAGTTTGTACTTTACTACTACTTATATTACATACCAAATATGTATTATCCGGTCCCAATTCCATATTAAGAAAATTAAAAAATGATACTGCGATTAGGGTTCTATACGAATCGAATAGAGTCAAATATTTTACAATTTGATTCTATATTTGTATTCGATAAATATTTGGATTTAAAATTTTATTTTGTATTCAATTCGGCTACATTATTCAATTCGATGAATAATGTATTCGATGCGATAAATATTTGGATTTCAATTCGATGAATAATGTATCCGATGCGACTCGAATATTCGAATTCAAAATTTCTTAACTTAATTTCTTTTCAAAGTTTTCAATAATTAAGATAAAATGTAATAAAAAAAATTAAATTTAAATAGCATACAATTTTCTATTAATATACTATATACTATTAGTCTATTATATATATATATATATATATATATATATATATATATATATATATATATATATATTTTAAGTTTTAATATATATATATATATATATATATATATATATATATATATATATATATATATATATATATATGAATATTCATTGAATCAAATACATTCTTATTTGTATTTGAATTCAATATGTATTTGGATTCGAATTTGTATTTGAATCACCCAAGAACTAATTGAGCTGCCTGTGTGGGCAATGCATATTTGTTGTGATTTATTACTTGGTTGATGTGTATTATGTTGTAGTTATGCTTAATGTAATTTTGTGATGTTGATGACAGTTTGACAACTTGTATGGATGCCGCCACTCTCTTCCCGATGGTTTGATGAGAGCCACTGATGTGATGATTGCCGGAAAGGTGGCAGTTGTGTGTGGTTACGGAGATGTTGGCAAGGGCTGTGCTGCAGCTTTGAAGCAGGCTGGTGCTCGTGTGATTGTGACTGAGATTGATCCAATCTGTGCTCTCCAGGCCCTCATGGAGGGTCTCCAAGTTCTTACCCTCGAGGATGTTGTCTCGGAAGCCGATATCTTTGTCACCACCACGGGCAACAAGGACATCATCATGGTTAGCCACATGAAGAAGATGAAGAACAACGCCATTGTTTGCAACATTGGCCACTTCGACAATGAAATCGACATGCACGGGCTCGAGACGTACCCTGGCGTGAAGAGAATCACCATCAAGCCTCAGACTGACAGATTCGTCTTCCCCGAGACCAAGACTGGCATCATTATTCTGGCCGAGGGCCGTCTCATGAACTTGGGTTGCGCCACCGGACACCCCAGTTTCGTGATGTCCTGCTCATTCACCAACCAAGTCATCGCCCAGCTTGAGCTGTGGAAGGAGAAGAACACCGGCAAGTACGAGAAGAAGGTTTACGTCTTGCCAAAGCACCTCGATGAGAAGGTTGCTGCCCTTCATCTCGGGAAGCTCGGTGCCAAGCTCACTAAACTTACCCCCGAACAAGCTGCTTACATTAGTATTCCAGTTGAGGGTCCTTACAAGCCTCCTCACTACAGGTACTAAGCGGAAGGAAGCCTCGAAGATCAAGAAGAGAATGTGTTTTAATGCGATTGTTGCCTTCTTTATACACATTTTGATTTGCACTAGAGACAGGTAGTTTTTGGTTGATGGATTTTGGGAGGCTGGAATATTTGAAAGGATGGTCTTTCTTGTAAAAGACCACCTTATATGTTGAATAAGGTTGTGTGGTTGGAGGTGTGTGGTATTGTAGCCTGTTTCTGTTAGATTGGTTTGCATCTGTTATGGCTTTTCTTTCATTAAAAAATGGAAACCAAATTTGCTTTTCCATCCTGTTTTTTACTCTTACCTCAATCAAGGCTAACAATCATCCTGTCTTTATATATATATATTTTTTGGAACATTATAAACCACTGAGAGCTACAGAAGAGTTGGTAGAGTTTGGTTTGGACTAATGTTGTGTTTGAGTTGGTCATCTGTTAATTGGATTTACCTGCCTACACCTTATCTGCTGCAAATTGTATACAAAACTTCAACATTGTACAAATAATATTGACTAATGTTTATTAGTTTTTGAAGTATCATGGACCAACGTGACGTGGTTGAGTGGAAGGGATTCATCCATCTTTAGCTAAACCTCAACATATTAAGGTCTAAGGATAAAAACATTATACCATGGACCATTAACATAAAATACATTTTTAATACACGAAAAATTCATTGTTTGGAAGTATATTATTTATAGAGTTTTACTACATGTACTCTCAAATTTTACTTCATGATGTGACAGACAATGATAGAATATTTTATCACGTGGGTCACAGGAAAAGTGTCCACATCAAAAATATGTGAGTAAAAATTGAGAGTAAGAAGTAAGAGTACATATAGTATTTTTCTTATTTATAGTACATATAGTACATAAAGAAATATGTTGTGGCGTCGGAGTGGTTGTCAACTGGCGACCACTCTGACGCGCCCCAGCGGGCACAAAGTGCGCCCAACGCGCATTCGACGCTTTTTTTTTCTCCTGCCAAAAACTTTGTTTGGCAAGAGAAAAAACTACATTAAAACCAACGCCTCCGATCAGATAAAAACTCAGTTACTGTTCTAAAAACTGAGAAAAGAGCACTGGTAGTGATGCTCTAAAATAGTGCATAGTGCTTTTTAGAGCAACTCCATTAGAAATTTTTTTTTGTGATTTTTGGCAGAACAAAAAATTTAAATGAGGTTTTTAAACAAATGGGGATGGAATATATTTTTCAAATGCTCAAATTATATACTGTAAATCCATTGTATCATGAAAAACTCTCACGAAGAAACAAATCAGTTTTAAAGAAATTGTAAGTATCATGTCTTGAATTAGTTTCGTGAGTTACTGTGATGTGGAATTTTGATGAATTATTTTTTTTTATTAAAAACTCTTACATATAACAATGGTGATAACACAATTAGACTAGAACTCCTTCATAGATAGTAGAATTAGACTGGAACTCCTTCATAGATAGTCAATAAGACTATATTAATATAACCTAATTTTGAGATGACTTGAACATGGGATCTTCAACATGGAAAACAAGCATGGTACCAAGACTTTTCACTGCAAGAACTATTCAAAGACTTGACAAAAGATTCTTTAAAATCAAAGCCAAATTAGATGAGCATAGGCAATCATGGAAGGTGATCTTATTTACCTTCCTTCTTTGCTACATCTGGAGCCACATTTTCATTGAAGTTGTGGTTTAGGTCTAAAGGCAATATAACTTGTTCTATCCACTCAGTGAAACCTAGATAATGATATCCGAAGGTGTACGTTGGGTAAACCTTACCACAACGAAGTAAACCAGCCTAGGTTACTCATAGCTGACCAGCTTAAACTAAGAAGGCCAATAAGCCATTCTCAATGGGAGTTGAACTTGAAACTTTTTGGTTACCAGGTCAATAGTCCGACCAACTTGGTTGGGGCAGTCCCCGTCTAAGAGCATAATTTGTGACTCTATGTGGAGGACACAACTTCTCATTTATCCCCACTGCTTCTCATACTCATCATCTTAGATGTAATCAAAGTCACAACATCTTAAGACCATTTATCTTCTTTCACCTTTACAAGAATTCTGTAATAAAACAAAATCCTTTTATACTTCTTCATTTGACTAACCTAACAAAATGCTAAACCAAAGTATTGAGAGTGTATAAACCCAGACATAACCCTTCTATTTAATACATCCTTTAAGAAAAACAGGGATTCTACCTTTTCCATACCACCATCTATAAGATCTGACATATAGATATAGTATCAGATGACATGGAAATACTACAACAAACTAAAAAACATATAATCAACATAACTTCAGTTCAATTGTATATTATGCTAAAACAGCACAATCAGATTCCTATTGAAATATTACAATTAGTGTTACCTCGACCTATATTCTATGCAGTTTATAGCATATCCAACATAATTAAGCAAATCTTCATACTGTACTGGGCAAGTGAAGTGATTGGCAGTAAGCAGGGCCTTGTGTGTTTCATGTTGCTTTCTGGTTTGCAGTTTATAGAAGCAATCACAAACACAACATTTGGCTTACATTTCAGAAGATAAGGACACCAACATAATTCTGTACAAAACTAGCAGTTTCTTTATATCTAGTACCTTATCAAGAACATGTGAAGGGGATTTTATTAGGTTCAATTTTCTTGCCCACAAATGACAAAATCTCTCGCCCCGGGGCCCACACCCTGGCCCGACATGATTTTCGAAACTGGTAAATCACTGTGACTCAACGGCCGTTAAGTAAGAGGACCAATGTCTGGTACCCACAAGGAGTCCACCACATTGGGTGTGATTCCCAATCACTGAGGCTGCTAGGGTTCAATCATGTGTCATTGCCAATAATTTGCCACCTAAGAACTAACTGAGCTCCCCGTGCGGGCTAGGTTCAGTTTTCTTGCCCACAAAAGACGAAATCTCTCGCCCCGGGGGGCCCACATCCCTGCCTAACAAGATTTGTGAAACTGGTAAATCACGGTGACTCAACGGCTCATTAAGTAAGAGGACTAATGCCTGGTGCCCACAAGGAGTCCACCACATTGGGTGTGATTCTCAATCGCCATGGCTGCTAGGGCTCAATCATGCGTCATTGCCAATAATTTGCCACCTAAGAACCAACTGGTCTCCCCGTGCGGGCTAAGTTCAGTTTTCTTATGTTGAAGACAAGTGGATGTCTAACTTCCACAAAATCTTCAACTTGGCATGAGGTTATTACTTATTAATACCTTTCAATTAAACCTAGGTTACCTGGCAAATACTCATTCTTACACTTCAGGATTTTAAGAAAACTTCATCATCAGTAATTATTCTCAATGGCATCAGATGAAATTAAACATAAACAGTCAAAACAGAAAATAGACAGATAAATCTTCACATTTACAACAAACAAAGCAAAGAATCCTAAACCAAAAATCAGCAAAATGTTCCAAGCACAGTTAAAAAAACTTTACCAATTTCATCTCTGTACTACAATCCCATCAAGAATTGATGCCATTCACCTCTCTAGCACACCTTGTGATGATCTCACACCCTCTGTTGTAAGTGTTAGCTTTCCCAGGACCCTTGCAGTTGTAATATGAAGCACCTGGAGTATCACAGGGCACCAAATCTCTTTTCAGAGTCTCATAGCTAATGTACCTCTTCCGCATCAGCAAAACCCTCCTATTGCTCTCAGAATCCATCTCTTCTTCCTCCATAGCCATGGCAGTGCACTCACTGCTCTTTCCAACGCAACCCCTTTTAACCATTACATCAAAGTCGCTGCCTTTCACCGGATTTAGGCCCATTACTGAAGACCCACCACCGAGACTCAACTGGGGATTCAAGAAAAGTAATGCTAATGAGATGGTGATGAAGGGTTTGAAATGAAGTTGGGTTTTCAGCATCTTGTGTGCCAAGATTTTCCCTGCTGGTGTTTTTTTCATGATTTGTTATGGGGAGTGAAAAGTTTGAGATTTGTGGCTGTGAAAGAAATGACATTGAAGAAGAAGTACTGGAGTGCAAGTGTTTTTGGTAAAATAACTGTACATATAAAACAGACCAATAAGAATATTCTTACATTTATGACTTTACTAGACTTTTTCTTCACCAAAATGTTGAATCTCTAACTTCTTAATGGCTCAACAGATCGAGCTCACTCACTTTGAACATATTTCTCATACTACCGCTGCTGAGATTCTAGCATTGGTCTCTTTTCTCAAATATTACCTACTGAAGCTAAGCCCGTGCGGGCTTACTAGATTTTTTCCAGAATGACTTATAGCTTTTGATATGTAATATAAATTTGGTATGTCATATATATTGCAGTGCAAATTTGATACCTTTATTCAAAGCATGCTCCTCCATGAGAGAAGAAAGAACATATAGTAGCATGTATGGGCTTAGCTCCCTAGTTTAGTAAACAGTATTTTGAAAGAAGAGATCAATGTTCAAATCTTGACAGGGACAAAGTGGGGATTAGTCCTATCTGCTTAGCCATTGAGTTACTGTGATTTTCATCATTCCAAATACTCTGTCAAGTTAGAGTGTGGGAGATCTTGGGGTTGGAGATTCAACCATTGAGAGAAGAAGAAAGAACATAGGGCCATAGATGGTGATTAGTCATTAATGTTGTGGGGATAATCTTGCTGCCTTACCTACTTTGCTATTCTTTAGTCATGGGAAAGTGTAGGGGTGAGTGAAAATGACCCACCAATACAAAACCACCCATACAAGTTTTGGCGAGATTGTACCAATCAAGATCCAAATTAAAGTAATAATAATGCCAATTTCTTTGCATTGGATATCAGTTTGACTTTGAGTTATGTTGCTACAGTGTTGCAGAGGCTGAGTTGGATCTGGGCTGGGTTCAATTCAATGCTCATTCAAACTGTGCCTGTCCTTGCCTCCGTTGTCAAGTGAAGTGTGAAGGGGATTTAAAAATTTTGGATTAGGGATGATAATATGGGTTAGATCTCGTGAGTTAACATGGACTCACCTCATATAATTTTAGATTACGGATGACAATATGAGATTATTAAATCCCGTAAGTTAACATGGACTCATCTCACATGGGCTGGCTCAAGTACGGTCCTCTTGCTATTGTACCTGGACTGACACATCACGATCTTGTATATTGCATCGGGTCGGAGATCCACATTGCTTTTATTTCTTTCTACCAATTTGTTCGTGGAATGCATGGAAAAAATTAAAATAATTTTATATAAATTAAAATTTTGTACATTTTATACTTTAAATGGGAAAATACTATATATTACATGTAGGGTTGCAGTGCACCCGGATACGATTGCACCGCAAGATCCTCCAGGCATGTCTAAAAATCGTAACAGTGCAATCATGTAGTAATTGCAGTGCAATCCTTCACAGGTTCACTGGTTAAGACTCGTTCTCACTTGATTAGAAATCTATAAAAAGAAATAGAAATATGTCATTTTTAATGAACTGATATCATTTATTAAATAATACATTATATAATACAACACACTTATTACAGACATGGGATTTATTATTCCATGTATTTTTAATTCATTGCTCCCATGCATAAGAATTTTTTATGCTTAGGGAACAGTAATGTAGGAAATGAAATGAAGTTTTCTATCTACCAAATAGCCCATGAAATCTTTTTTTCCCCCTCCTAAAACAATGATTTCATCAACTAACTAATAGACAAATAATTCACCCAATTAGGAGTTGATAGAGATTAACCATCTAATCTAATCCTCTCCCAAAAAGTTGAATCTCCAATCCCAAGAGTCCCACACTCCGGCCAGACAGAGCATTCAGGAAGATGTAAATCACAGTGACTCAATGGCTCAGCAAACAAGGCCAAATGCCGATGCGCACAAGTCACAAGGGATCTACCTACTTTGGGCATAATCTCACACTGCCGCCGTCGAGGTTCGAATCTTAGTCTCTTTTTTTCAAATATGGCCTACTGAATCATTGAGTTAAGCCTGTGCGGACCAACTTGACCAATATGACATTGAAAACATGAATCTAAACTTACATAGTTTTGTGATTTTGAATAAGGAACATAAATTACGTATTTATCTTACTAATGATGTAAAGCTTTTGCAAACAGAAAAGAACAAAAATAGGATAAATATCATCTCCCATCAAACCCTAATTGAAACATGAATCTAAGCTTCCCCTAATGTTTTGGGGAACAAATATTAATATATGTACAAATGGTCAACCCCAATACACGGTTTTGAGTAGCTAATGTACAATGATATAAACCATTGGACGAAAATGCTTGCAAATCTTTTCTAAATGCAAAAAAGATTGATATCATGATATTTATCACAAAAAAATTGCAAGTAGACTGAAATTATTTTTACAAGCTATAAATTGAAGAGTGATGGAAATAGGGGGAAGAATCTTGACCTTAGAGAGTAAGTTTATCCATGCTGCTTGTGTTTCGAGCTATTCCCTGATTTGATCTTCTATCCTCTTGCTCATCATATGAACCTGCTCGTAAACCAGAGCTCGCCTCTTCATTATCAGAGCAACCTGGCCTTTCTGTCAGGAATTGCTCCCAGAACACGTCATTCACTCGGGCCGGAGGTGTGGCAGACCCTTGCTTGTTACTTGATGGATTGTGAGCAGAAGACAAATTGGCATTATCTATAGAAGGGTTTCTGGTCTTCTGTGGAATGCTATGATCTGCTACGTTGCCATCAATGTTGGATCTTGACTCTGAACATCTAATCATATCGCCCATTTGTGGCGTTCGGGCTGAATGTGGGTTAGAGTCAACTTGCAGTGTAGAAGAAGCTAGAGTAAGATTCAAATGACAGGACATTTGCCCATCGACTTCCTCATTAGCAGTCAAGGTATGTTGAAACGAGTTGAGTCTCGGACTTGCTTTACCGGTCAAAGATGAATCCATCTTCAAGGTAAATGATGTTCCTGTATCTGAAAGCTCGACTGTCTCTGGAGCATATAGAACATCAGCGGTTCTCATTTGCAAATCGTTCGGCCATCCTTCAGATAATCTCCTGTGGGGACTACCCCCGTCTTCATTTGAGCTTTGAGTGCTATGAGAAAGCAAATTAACATCTGAAACAGCTGGAGATAACTCTAGCCTCAGCTTATTTGAGAAATCTTGGTGGCATAGGTTACCAAACTCAGGTCTAGAACTGCTATGGTTGTCTACCAGGATAGTCGTCTCTTCAACAGGTTGGGAATTTTCAGCTTGAGGCAATCTTCTTTTCTTATTATAAGCTGAAAAATCCATGGATTCCAGTTTTTGAGCAAGACGTTCAACAAAATTTGGATTAAGAATGGCCTTCTTGAAACATGCCAACAAATTCTCTTGCCTTTGCTCCATATTACCAACCCGCTGAGTTAGTTCTTCGAGCTGCTGTTTTGCAGTGGACTGTTGCTGTCTGAATGTTGAGATGTTGGCCTCAAGATTACTCTTCTCACGAGAAAGCTTATCGATTTCTTCCTCATATGTAGCTCTTTCTGGATCTACCGTGGAACCTGGAGGATGACTATGACTGTGAATAGGTTTTCTGCGGTGAATGTTCTTAAGGAGATGCTTTTGGCCTCTCAGAAAACCTTCATTTGCAAATTCCCATCTTTCAGGATCAATCTTCCGAAAACCCTATCAAGGTGACATTGGTGTCAATGCAATTTTGTGTAATTACACTGGGAATTATGAATCTCGAGAATTTTAAAAGCTGAGAAATATGCAGGAGCAGTAACCAAAATATTCAAACAGCTTCATGCAGTAATTGCATTCCTATCTGTACCTTTCAGTAATCAGACCAACATATGGAATGAATATAAATTGACAAATCACGGTAAGAAACAGACTGTAAATTTTGGATAGGAAACCAGCCTAAAGTCCTGTTGAAGCAGTTAAACAATATCCATACAGCTTCAACCCAGTAAATTGAATCCTTATCTATACCTTTTTCAGACCTTTGGTACAGTATTCAGACCATGACACATATATATATCCATAACATCATGTCATAGATTAAAGAACAGACACTAAGGTTTAGAACGGATGACATAAATCCATACAAACATGTTTAAACAGACATTAAAAGGTCTCTGATGAGATGAAATAAGAGGCTAAAGGAGTTTATGTGGAGGTACAGTCTTCCTTTCTCAATGGGTATCAAACAAGGGCTTGAAGCTCAGATTTCCATGCATTGTTTGATCTTTTCTTATAAACCCAGAGGTACACATCACATAATTCCTTCCTGAGACAATCATCATCATCATTTATTATTTTTATTTTTATCTCCGTATAAATTATAAATTTATGCTAAAGATCAAGTTTATGTGAAAGCTAAAGATCAGAATGCATTGGAAACATTATTTTTATCAAGTTCAAAAAATGACTTGTTCAAAAATGTTTTGAAGTCCATTCAGCTCATTCTAGAGTCTGTTAATCCATAACATAGAAACACCCAAGGGAATTTACCTAGAACACTGAACACATTATTAAAAATATAAAAAAAAAAAAAAAATTCCTTTGATGCACCCCATAGGTCCTATATTTCAATGTCAGGAAACTGAGAGTAGTGATGTTCTGAAGGTATCTATGTCTGAAGGAGTTGGGTGTTAATTATCTAAATGTCTAAACTTTTAAAGAAATAAGGGGGCGTTTTGTTCGGGTTATCTAAGATAACAAGGTTATCTTTAGTTGGTTATATGACATTCCTGTGTTTGGTTGAAGTTATCTAACATTCCCATGGAATAAGATTTAACATCCACATCATCATTTTTCTTATTTTGAAGGGAATGTGATTCCCTTGATTTCCTTAGGTAATGTAAGATTCCCTTGCTTTTTTTTTTTACAGACTCTACCCTTCACTCTTTTACAAACTTTGCCCTTGATATCCTTGGTTTCTCTCTCGCATTTATTTTTTCATTCTTACTGATTCCCATTCTTTCTAGTATAAGAATTGGTTCTTTTGCAGTGAAAGTTAATACAAAATTGAAGTGCATCACACATACTCAGTATTGCAATGGAAGTTAATATAAGAATAAGTTCTT